TATATGTTTTAGGACTTTGTAAGCTAATATTTTGTCTTCCGTGTTTGTCATGTTCTACTTGGCTTATGAATTTATCCCAAGACTTTTGATGTGTTCTCTCACGATTTGTGTTAGCTCATTTCTTTTTTTCTTTATATGTTTTTCTTGATTCCTCATCTTTTTTTTCGATCCATTGTAAATATTCTTTCTGTTTATCCTTTACTGCTTGCGCTATTTTCATTCCAGATCCGTAGGCCCTTTTCTACTTCTGATTTTATTTTTCTTCCCTAGGCTTCTATTGCAGCTCTTAGAATACATTCTCGTCGTTTTCCCATTCTAAGTCTAGGTTGTCTTCAGTTGGTTTTTCCAGAGGTACTTCTGGAGGTCTGCCTTGGTAGATATTCTTACACTTTCTTCTTGAAGATGTATTTTATATACTTATTTTTGAGGTATTTTTTGTCTGGTTCTAATCTTTCTCCATTTTGCCCATATCCTAAAATCAGCTATTAGAATATAGTGATCTGAGCCTATATCGCATCCTCTAATACTCCTCATCATTCAACTGAGGTCATAGTTTATCATTTATTAAAAAGTAGTCTATGGTATTTGTGAATATCTTACTTTCGAAAGAAGGTATTTGTCACTTAAGATGATTCATGCTGGCAAATGTCTCAGTTCCCGACCGTTCATGTTATATAATATTCTCCACAATTTCCTACAATATCTGGGATTGGTGAGTTTCCACTCTAGCATTTAGATCTCCACATACTATTAAGTGATCGTTTTTATTAGTTTGTGTAACTTCCTGTTGTAGTTGTTCATAAAAATATTTGTCTTTCTCTCCTGCCTTCTTCCAGAGCATATTACTCCTATGATTGTTAGATATCCTCTACATATTTTTTATTCGAGCTTTTATTATTCTTTCATTTACAAAGGTGTAACTTTCTATCTTATTTTTCGTTTCTTATCTATAAACAAGGCTACTCCTGCTTTTGCTCTGACATTTTGGGGTACTCCCACTGTACAGCATGCAGTAGGTATCTAAATCTTTAGTTCCTTTTACTTTCTTGTTTCAGTGGCTACTAATAATTCATATTATTTTTCTTTTAAAATGTTTTATAATTCCTGTTCTTTTATTCCTAACCCTCTGACATTCCAAGTGGCAGTTTTTTAATTTTTCCGTGAATCGTTGTCCATTTGCGCGCGTAGTCTGTTTCCATTGTCAGCCGGCTTTTTACTATGGGATTCGAGTAAGAGTTATTTTTCCAGTACAGATTACCGGTCACAGCTGATAGTCAGATGTTGGGGTTGCCAACTTTCAGCCTTCTGACCTGCTGGGTATCTTTTCGTGTCACCATCCCTAGGCAGACTGCCTTCACTGGGCTGCCTACCCTTTGAGGTCCTGTTCGTCATGCGAAGGTTTTCTTCTGCATCCTGTCTTTGAGGTAATCTTCTATGGGTCCCCTGGTGTCGTGAGGTCGTCTTCTATCTTTCCTCTTCTGACGCTGAGGTCCTCTTCTGGAGTACTTCTTCGTCTGACCCCTCTTCTTTGACCTGTCCGAAAAGGGAGTCCCTACCAGTAGCTACGCTTACGCGCCGGCGTAAGAGTTACAAGTGACATCAATTAATACTAGAATGCAAGAATATAGACAAAGATGGGTAGAACATGTAGAAAGGATGAGTGATAGCAGACTTTCCAAAGCAGCTTTGTTATACACGCCGAGAGGAAGAAGAGATGTGGGAAGGCCACGAAAACGATTGAGAGAAACTGTGAGGACAGAACAGGCAGTAGCCTAATCCATGAAGTGAAGGAGAAGAAGACTATGTTTTGAGACTGTAGGGAGAACATTGATACACAATTTGAAAAGTAAAGGATCCAGGTGAGATCCCTTAGGGGCTCTAGACGGTACATGGTAATAAGTCAGAATGGATACCATTCAGAGACACATACTGCAGTCAGTTATGCAATCACAAATTAATCCATGAGGAGAGCAGATAACCCAAACCCATTTTAGTTAGTTTATGGAATAAGATCATATGATCAACCCAGTCAAATGCCTTAGCAAAATCCATACAGATTGTATTAAATTGAAAGCCATCAGCAAGCGAATTAACAAAAAAGTACGACCAAGTTTGTACAGGTTGACCTGTCCTCCCTGAATCCATGCTGAGAGTCTGAGAGTACAGGCTCAAACAAAGATGCAAGATTAATGCACACCAGTTTTTCAAAGAGCTTAGGGATGATGCTTAAGATGGGAATAGGGCAGTAATTCGTCACATCAGATTTATGAACAAGGATAATCTAGCTCTTCTTCCAAATATCAAGAAAAGACCCACATCTGACGTATTGATTAAATAGTAACAATAATGGGCTAGCTATGGCACATCTGCAATGTGACAAAAACAGATTAGGTATGAGATTGAGATCTGGTCCCTTTCTTGGATTTAAAGAACCAAACTTCTCAAAGGTATCACACAACCATAATTGAAGATTGCCGATGAAAGGGTCCTTGACAACTAAAACTGGAAAAAACAAACACTGCTGGAGGTTATGATGTGTTCTTGGAAAATTGATTACTGAAATATTGTGCAAAAACGAAAACTGTATCGCTCAATTCTGTACAATGAATATCACGATACTGCTGTGCAGAATATGGTTGTTAATTGTGGTGTAACGTAAATGATTCCAGAAAACATTGACTTTAGAAAATATATATTCTTGAACCGAAGAAATATAATTATCCTAGGAAAGCTTTTGGACATACTTTACTTTGGTTTTCATGGCACAAAACGAATCATAAATCAGTTGATTTTGATGATTTATAGAGTTTTTGTAACCTTTTCTTCCCTGATGAGATCTCAGATCCACAGAACACCAGAACGTGTAAGAGTTACCAAAAATCAGCCTCATTGAAACATAGCAGTCGATTAGTGAATAGAGAATATTATAAAAGATGTCCACATTCATATTAGTATCCATGTTGCTAAGAGATGAACTCCAATGAATCTGATTAAGTTTGGAACAATTATATAATCAACATTTTCAAAATCATAAACATAAGGATTCAACTCCCAGTCAATTGGTTGTAATAATGGCGTTGAAAAGGGAGTGCAGGGTGGAAAGGATTACATTTGATATGATCATCAATAGACTGCTGTAGATTAAGAGTTCCAAAGTTTGAGAAGATGACATCAAACAATGAGTTTTTGTGATTAACAATATCATTATGTTGATGCAGGTTCAGTAGAGCCAGCGCGTTTAAAATTGTATGTCTCATTAACCGAAGAAGAAAGAAGGGGAAAGTATAGGAGAGTCATAGCTGAAATGTGACCAGTCAAGTCCTGTAAGGTTGAAATTGCTTGTCAAGAGCATAGAAGCAGATGGATTCGCTTCAGCAACATTTAGAAGATCATCAGCATATGTGTCGTATAATGATGAATTGAGAGTGTGGATACGACACAAAGATCAGACTGACCCCGCTAGGTTAAATTTTCACACAAGGATGTTCAATGTTTAGAGCACAAGTAGTAGCCAGAAATGACAGCAAGGAATCTCTGACCACAATGAGAACACCACCTTGTTCATATATGCTGAAGTGAGCATCACGATCTCGAAAGAAAATGGTATACTTAATCGTCTAAAGTACGTCATCAGAGAAAATGTCGTTAAGCCACGTCTCGCTGAAGATAATAATGCCATAGTCAATGATTGTTTAACAGATAGATCTCTGCAAGTGAGCAATTTTCGTTCGCATGCTTCTGACATTCTAGTAATAGACGTTAATGGAAGAAACTCTCGAATATCACTGACTTAACTTTTTGAATTCTAAATGGTCTTCGGGATGCCATTTCTGTAAACTAAAATTGAGAAGAAAGAATTTTGCACGAAAAATTTATGAAATAACCAGAAATACTACCGATTATGATAATTCTTTAAATTTACATATAATTTATAAGCATAAAAATACGAAAGAATACAGAAATACATTGTTAATACTGAAAATCGATTCAACAAAACCTGAATTTTTTCTCGAAATTTGCTACATTTACTAGAAATCTGACTGGTCTTCCACACTTAATGAGTTTTTAAAATTTAATTGCTAACACGGGGCAAGGATCGTAAACCTTTTTGCTAACTACTATGAATCTGTGCAAGTTAATAATGTGTCTGAAAATCAGTACATCGGAAATATCAAACTGAGTATTATGGACATTTCACAACTTAATGTATATCCCACGATTATAGTACTTTTCTTGTATGGATAAAAAACCACTTAACAGACAGATTCTAGTATGTTAATAGTTAATCATTTGTAGCTTGGGCAATTTTATGTTCCACACCGGTCACATCTGGCCCCTTTATTATTTCCACTTTTCATCAATGATAATAAAAATTATATTTAATGTAAATTTTTATTATAAGCGGATGATCATTAAATTAAAATATGGTATTAAAACAATATCAGATTGTTTACAATTTAAGGACAATATAGATTTGGTTAAATAATGGTGCAACAAGAATCGCTTAGCCTTAAATATTGATATAAGTAAAGTTAGTGTTACACTGCTTCTTGATCCCCATTGTTCTTTAATTATCAGATAAATGGTATAAACCTCACGACCTCAAAGATTTGGATGACATTTTTGATCCCAAATTGAAATTTAAACTTCACATAGAGTATATAGGAGGTAAAGCTTCACGTGTACTGGGTTTCATTTTAACAACGAAGCCAAGCCAGCCAGCCAGACACACGCACACACACAGACAGACAGACACGCACACACACACAGACATGCACACACAGACTGAGAGACACACGCATAGATGTCTGGGCAACAGGGAAAACCCTCACTCTGTCATTTTAAGTGGAACAAAAAAGTTGATGTAAATGCAGACATGTTGCAGATTTATACATTAAGAAAAATTATTAAAGAAAATTAAAATTTTCTTCCAAAAAATTTAAGAAACCCTGAAAAATGACCATTCAAACATTTTTCAGTATGCGAACACAAAAACTTACCCTTTTCCCTTTTGGCTTGTCTATTTTTTCTAACTTCTTCAGCATTTCATTATCAAATTTTGGAGCAACACGTGAACCATGAGCAGAAGGTTTTGTTTCCAAAGGCAAAGACCGAGGTCCTTTTCCGCCACCAGCTTTCTTTCCTTTGCTTGGTACCATTTCTGCGCTCTTTTTTTCTTCCTCTTCTACTTCCTTCAACTTAAAAAAACAAAACAACCACACATAAATTCTCATTCAATCAATGTTTACAGATATCCTAATGTAGCAATTCCCACTACTGACTTAATTCAAAATGGAGAGCTGAGGAGAGAGAG